TTTTATAAATAGTACAACTCTTTTAATCCTTCATATTTTATTTAGATTATTGTATCTGCTTCATTTGCTAACAAGAAGTTATAAAAGCCTATCATATCTTTATTTGGAAAGTATTCATCCCTCTCAACCTCCTCTCCCATTTAGCACAAAGTGTTTCAGAGCACTGACTTTAGAAAGGATAGTTCTGTTTGGATTCCTTTTAAAAATCTTTGTGTCATATCATTTATCTTAACTTTAAATCCCTGAACAAAATATGATTGTGTTCAGTGCTGCACTTTCAAGATCTAATAAACCAAAGCACAACCTCATGATTTTGACAAGAGACCACAGTATCTTGTCAATAGTTCCAGTATTGTTGACTGTCTTGTGTATAGTGTCCATTCCAGAATGACGTTGGAATATTGCTGCCATATGCTGTAGTAAAAAGAAAACACTGTATTTATTATTATTTTGCCTTTCAGACTCTCGGAGATAATGTTACTGTGAAAATGTATTCTCCTTCGTGGCCTAACTTTGACTATACTATGGTGGTAATTTTTGTGATTTCTGTGTTCACTGTGGCATTAGGAGGATATTGGAGTGGACTAATTGAATTGTAAGTTTAATTAAACTGTAGTGTTTTTAAGAAAAATGGGTAAAAAATTATTGTTTGGTAATCATTTTATCATGTAACCACATTTAAAATTCTAATTGTTTCCGAAATATAGTGCTGATTAGATTAGATTGCAAGTTTGTCCTCGTACCGGTCATTTAACTCCTCATTGAGAAAAAGCAAGTCATAGGCTCCTCCAGTTCTGCTGGCGTGGAAACGTTGAAATTCCATCAAAGACTCTTTTAAATTAAACTGTTTAATTATCTCTCCCAGAAAAGGTGAAGATAACTAACATCCTAATGTGCCTATTTATTTGAATTGGAAGAAAATAAACAAGAGAAGCTGGGAAGTCTTTCAGCTCCTCCTAAATTGAATCATTACAGTGTGACCTCACCATTCTGTTTAATGCTTTAGGAATTCTAAGGATATTAATTAAGCATGTCCATATTTTAATTTAAATATAGAAATTCCAAATGTACATAAAATTTGGATTTCTCTATTTAATAGCAACCTAAACCCAATCTTTTTACAGTTATGTACCTTTGGCTTTAGATTACAATGGGCAATATAGTTTAAAAGGATCAGTTCGCATTTATAACTCTGAGTGAAAAATCATACTCAGAACACAATATTTTATGTGTAAAAAACAATGTATTCACTTTAT